CTCTCAGCAATGCTGAGTTAATGGTACCCTGGATTGAAAAAATACCACTTTAAGGTTGTAAAAATATTGTTTTAACCTTTCCTTTCTACCTGTTTTCCTCTAATCAGATAAATCTACCTCTTTATTTCTATCTCTGTCATTAGAGGCAACCCGTAGTATCACACAGCCCCCCCACTCTTCCCCTGTCTCTCTCGCTCCCCTCGACAGTGGAGCTTGTCAGCATATCAAGAGCAGAATGGAGTCCACTTTGTGATACATACAAAGTATAGAGCCAAAGGCTGCAGATGGAGAGCCCGCTCAGGCTCTACTTCATTCGTCCAATTAGATTCACAGTTCCTCCAGTTTCAGTGCTGTTGATGCAGATGATTTCTCCTAATGACTAAATTGCGCCCTGTTACAGAAATCTAAGAAAATGCCCCATGTGTGAGTATAATGGCAGTGATTCTGCTCAGACCCATCAAGTGTGAGTCTGCCCTGTGCCAGACAAGTATTCTAGAGGGAATAGCACTAATCTCTCACTTGTTCTTTTGCCTTCACTTTTTCACTCCTTCACACATTCCTTCACTCACTTCTCTCCCTTACTGTCTCCCTCATTCACTTCCTCACTTCCTTCTCTCATTCATGAATTCTGTTTTCCACACATTCACTCCCGCGCACTCTGATTCATTCAGTTCCACCCATTACTCCTTCGGTCTCTCACTCTCAGCCATTCATTCTCTCATTCATTCATTCCCTGATCCATTCAGTCTCGCATGCAGGCATCATATTGGTTCACTTAATGTTCAGTTCAGTTCAATAACTCTCTATTGGTGCCGTTATAATTAACAGCATCGCCAGAATGAGTCCAGTAGCATGGAAACACACATCAACTGGCCCCATATTGATTGCAATTAATTAAGTAATGAAGTGAAATGGAATCCTAAATAAATTAATGACTGCAATAACAGCAAAACACCACTCTCTCCTTCATTTAAATTCTGGTTCAGAGGCTTTATTGTTGCCTTGACAAGATTAATTTTATGTTTGCCAGAGCAATTTATTTTCATGAAGATTGACTTCGGGACATTCTTTGCATATTTTGACAGGATTCTGCAAACTATAAATTTATAGATATATATGTTTGTGTCTTTTCTTCACCTACTCTAACTTGTTCCCTCCCATAGTCTTGCTCTGGTGTGGAAGGCTCAGTGGGTTGCATTGGTGCCTCACACCTTCTGGGTTATTGGTTCTGATCTCACCTCTGTACTGTATGTGTAGATTTTCTCCCATCGTCCTATGACAAGCAGTTAGGCTCATTGCCATCTCTGAATCATACTTATATATGAATGTGCCCCATGAAAGACTCCATCATGGGACCCTAGTACGCTGTGCGGTCTGAGAGGCTCCTGGCCTCCCAGGACTGTGACTGGAATAAGTGGTCAGAAGATGGATGGATATATTACTTCCTCTGTTACCCAATGAAATTCGAAATGAACTTTATTGACGGGACATCTGTCAGTTCTAGTGTACTAAGCGATGATATATGGAAACAGACACAAAGGGTAAAAATAAAAGCCGGAAGCAATGAATAACAACCACAACAGAATAACACTGTTTTTTTTTTCTCTGTAGTACTTCCCCTCCCTCTCGCCTTCCATCCTTCTCTCTAATTGTTTTTTGTTTTCTGTCACACACTTTCCCTCAGGATGTGGTCGTAAAATACACACTGATTAGTTAATGCGGCCGTCCACTCCTCAGCCAGCAGGGCAGGGAGCGTGTAAATGCAGAGAGCCCCGATCAGGCTCTGTACCGACTAACTCATCAGCTAGAAAACGAACGCAGGATACTCGCTCTCACATCAGCCTTGTTAACTGCAGTGCAGGCCCGTGTCATTTCCTCCCGTGCTTATTCGCCCTTGCTCTCTGAATGATTCTGTCACTCGCTGACACACAAAGATGCACCCACGTACCTGCACTTACGCACCTGCTCTCCCGCACACTGTGATGCACAGAGGCAGAATACATTAACTCTCACATACACTTGCCCACTGGCTCATTCCTGCACGCTCTGCTCGCATACACTCTGTGAGTTGATGCACTTTGGGCGCTTTTCCACTGCATCAGGTTCCATACTTTTGGTACTAAGATTCAGTACTTTCCCTTTTCCACTGATTTCTGGTCAGTTAACAGTACCAACAGTACCAGTACCAAAAGTCCCAAACCAGTTGCTACTTTGGGGCGGGACTTGCAAATGTGTTTATTGTCAAATAACCTGCCTTGAAAAAACAAAATACATCTGCCATCCTGAAATAGTGTAGTTACACTCTCAGACAACAACAAGTGAAGTAAAAAAAATAAGCAATAATAATGAATGCATAGACAAATGAAGAGACCCAAGCTTTAATTGTGATCTGGTCAGGAGAACCTGAAGAAGGTCTGGATGGCATGACAAGAAATAAAACAGTATTTGTTGTAACAAACTGGGCCTGCATGATATTGGAAATTTTCAGATATCATGATGTGATTTTCATTGCTATAAATATTAGGATATTTGTAAATGAAAAAATACATTTCTCACAAACCCAACTAGGAATGATTTAAACAGCAAGGATGAAAATGATTATGATTGGCTTGGGGAGTTCATGCAGAGTTCATGCAAAATCTTTTTTTACACATACTAGAGAATCTTGAAGAGTTAACAATCATTAAATTGCAAGCTTGCCAAGTTTTGTTTCCTATGACAGACTAAATATGTTTTAGTGAAACGTAACCCCACTCTATGATGTCTGGACAGTATGAAAAAGTCTGATCTCAGCCTACCTGACTGTCATGGTCCTTGTGATGTAAGAATTGTGTGTGCATAACATGCAGTGTTGATATTAATATCGCACTTCACCAACTTTGTGATATAGGTATTTTTTTAATCAAGTGTAAAATACCCTGCGTCACGTTGTAATTATGTCATTCAGAGCCAGTACCAGTTTTTACGCAAGTGGAATATCATACCACGATAAGTACTGTACTTTTGTTACTTTTTTGGAATTCCAAAAGTACAAAGCCTGGTGTATTGTAAAAGTACCATTTGAAGTTGAAGGCATAAGGCCATGAGCCACGTGGTGACATTCAGACATTTGTCTAATATCAAACAGTCATCATGCAAATATGGGTGGGACAGATTCTTGAAATGAGCAGTTATAATCACAAAAAGCTTATTTTCATTTGCTTTTATACATTTCCACTACGATTTTTTTACCTGCCCAGTCAGAAACACTGTCGCTGGCTTTGTCATCACTGTCCCAGAAACATCCGCAAGCTCATGACACACCGTGTCATAACACGGTTATTCTGGGCCTGAAGGACGAGATGGGCCAGATGTTAATAGCACAGAAGGGCATCTCGATGTTACTGTGGCGTGTTGCGGGGAGGGGTGGCCATGTCTGCCGTGGTGTGCGTCTCGCGGTCCCTGGAATGACGGAGCGGCTGTGTTTGGTGTTGCCATTTTGCCAGGCTGGCGTTCCCTGCTTTCACCTGGGTGCTGCTTCCTCCATGGCTTCCTGCAGCAAACTGACCTCTAGGCAGAAACTCCACATGTTCCACCTTCAGGACGCTGCTGAGACTGACCTGATGTCCTGAAAGGGGCATACAGTGGAAAGCGGCTTCTGCAGGTACCACAAGGAAGGCAAGGCCCCGGAAGGGCAACATGTGAACGTATCCCAGCAGCATCGAGCGTGCTCAAAGCTTTTGACACCATTAAAAGGACTGGATCTGGTTTACTGAGTGTACCAGCCATCATGGTTCCCACTTCTCCATGTGCTTTTTCACATGCAGATCGTCTGTCACGGGGCCTGTGGCTGGGCATCAGAAGGTCTGTTTCAGAAAGCTTTGCTACTGTTTCCAATACCATCTTCATCACAGCTGACTCATGCTACATTGTCTCCCGGAGGGGAGGGGGGCGATTGACCTCTGGAGTAGGGGGGATCTGCACTGGTGGTCTGCAGTGATGGATGTCACGTCAATTACATGATTATATGGTGAACAGGAGTGGGGGGCGACCCTGGTTCTTAAGGGGACCCTGCTAGTCCCTCAATCTCTGGGTGTCAGTGCAGCCTCCCCAATTTTCCTCATGACGTACCCTGTCTGCAGAGTGATCCAGTGGGTGAGATCTAGCTGGGGCTCCACCTTCGGTCTAGCCCCCATAGCGAATTAGTTGGAAGGGGGGGGGGGCCTGGGACCATGGTGGCTTGAGCTCCCACACCACATTGAACCTTGGGAAAAATTCAATTTTTTTGATTCCACAAGATCTGATTCCTGGCCCAAATATTTCAGTCGGTGACACGTTAATAAAATCTTGCCTTTGGTGAGACTTCTGTTACTGTGTTACTGTGTATGAAAGGTTTTGAGAGCACTGTAATTTTTTTGAGATGTTTCATGAAATGTACACCAACACACCCTGCTCCAACAATTAAATGTTCTCTTAATACTCTTTGGTATTATCGTCATTACAGGTGTTTGATTCAGGTACAATGATTTCAATTGTACATGTTTGTGTGGCAAAGCCATTTCTGGGGATGGTGTACATGGGGATGTCTTTCTTTTGGCGTGTTTTTTTTTTTGAGGGGGTGGGGGGGAGAAAGGTTTCACCTTGTTTCAGCTTCTCAGTGATTTTTCCCACTGTCCCCTGGAGACGGGGGAAAAAAACATTTAAAAGAGGCACAAAGACTACAAGTGACTAGGACTTCTTGGGGTAGAGAGAATAAGTCACCACGTTTTAGATTGTTGGTCTAATCTTGCTAAGCTGTTCTTCTTTCTGTTTTTCCTGTACTGAATCTGTGTCTGTAATGCCTTTTTTGTTTTGTTTTTGAGAGTTTTGTCCTCTTTTTAACTGACAAAGATGACCTCTTGCTGAAATGTCTTTTTTCTTCTTCTTCTTTTCTTTTTTGATTTTTTTGTTTTTTTTGCCACAGTAAATCTTTTTGAATTTTCTCTTTTCTCTTTTTCCTCCCTTTTTTTTCTTAACCCTAGGTCCGCTCACAAAAAAACATGATGAGTCTTCGATGAACAGGCCCAGGGATGAAGGTATTTTTGTTGCATGTTTTTCCTTTTTTCTTGTTTTTTAAAATTCTTTTTTTGGGGATAAAAACAGAAAAATAAAACATACAGCAACATGCTGATCAAGCTTTTATATATATGTATATATGCATAAATGTGTCTATGTGTGTGCATATGCAAAGTAATTACCTGTAATTAGACCTAGTAGCTAAAATTAGCCAGCTAGTCTTTTAAATAAGTCTTATATCCCCTTTTTCTTGAAAAATGCTTCACAGATACATTTTCTTTGGAGCAGAAACAGAATAATATGCTTTCTTATGGGTTTTTATGTTGGGGGGGGGGCATTCCATTATACCTAACAATGAGATGTGATTTGACTCATGCGCACATACAAATATGCAGAAATAAATATGATCAATGTCTGCCATAATCAGTACACGAACAATGACACACAGATGAACAGGCAGCATACAAACACCCTGTAATATGATCAAAACTGTAAAAAAAAATGGGTATCAGGGTTTGATTTCCAATGTTTTTGGAGACCATCATTACACAGAGAAGCACCCAAATCAGCAAACAAGATTTTCTTAGTAGTTAATGTTTCATGACATGAGACCAGAAGTATTACTCAAAAGACATGAACTAAAGTTTTTGAGTAGATTTAATTTGCTCATGAAGTTATCAGGGTCACGCCTGAATTTGGGAGACAGTAGCCTGTGTCAGACGCTATCCTGTTTGTCATTATGTATGAAGCTGTGGTGTCTGAGAGAGGCAACCTCCCAGTGTGGGTGGCTCAGAGTAGTGTGTTCTTCTGACAAAGATGCCCCCCCCCCTACATGCATCCCGTTGACCCAGCGCTAAACCGTGGGAGATGAGCAAACTCGGTCTGTCATATGTTCAGCGGATTAGAATGGAACTCAGTATACGGCGGCCTGCCGGCATTTTGGCAATGGTGGTCTACAGACAGTAAAGTACCACTGGTTTAGAGATGGGCAAAGGCCTTTTAAACTAAAACGTTCCGCTGTCTTTGCAGATTAGAGGTAAATATGTAGAGCTTTATACAGGCACTGCAGATATTCAACTGTTTATTTCTCACCCACTGCCTGATGGGATTTCCCATGGATTGTTGCAAAAACGGCAGTAGCCCAGTTATGCAATCTCTGCAGAGACCTCCTTCACTATGTCACTTCCTGCCCAAAAGCTAACAGTTGCTGCCCCATGGCTAGAATGATTGGTCCTCCGTGCTGTCATTCATTTAAAGTGACAGGGGTCCAGGTGCCTGGAGGGCTGTATTTCTGCTAGTGTTTTTTTTATTGTTTTTTTGACTAAACTCTTCTTTTAGGTGGTTAGCACAACTACTACTTGTAAATGATGCACTCGTTTCTTCACTGCATTAAAATCTAATTTTATGAATGATATAAAATGATATAAAAAACGTCTGAAGCTGTTATTTGAAGCCTATGTTGTTTGAGTGTTTTCTTTTGCTTTGGGGAAATGTAATGATATAAATAGTACTGATAATTAACTATCAATTGGACCAATTCAGCCTAAGGAATGGGCCCAAATGAGAAGCATCAATCTCGCGGCCCTTCAGGAACGGAATCTCAAACCCCTTATTATGATCATTTGAAAAATCGCGGGAATAGCTTATAGCCATTGCAATCCTTTCTGGAACCTATTCGGACCTTTCTGGAAGCGGAAAAATGGAAATACGCTCGCACGGCTAAGTGCCATCTGTGCCAGGATGCTGCTCGATCGCTGCAGTGCATGTGCCATGTTGCCGTAATTGCTTCGGCGTGAGCGAAAGGGTTTTAAGTGCTTATTCATCACCCTGGCAACGCCACCTGTTTTGAATCTCACGTTTTTTTCCAAGTCGTACGACACACCTCAAGGAATGGTTGAAAAAATGAGTGTAGCTGATTTCACTGAAGAGTAACTAGTACCATGCAGTAGTGCCTGGCCAGCCGTGGAAATCCCTGGTCACTCTCATTATAGCGTGAGTAACAACCTTCCACCCACCCCCACAGCACTTCTTGAACTTGCCCAGCCTGATGTTCACCTGCTTCTTGACTGTAAGATGTCTAGTGATAACTGGGGGTGCAGCCCACTGACCCTCCCATATCTCGGCATCAGATACACGATTGGAAACACTGGATTATGGCAAATCTGTAAGGTGAAACAGACGCTCCTCTACTTACGAATGAGAGATGTTCCGAATGGCCGTTCGTAACTTGAAATGTTTGTAAGTCGTTATTCAACATCATTTAAGGGTATACACAAGTACAAAGAACTAGGATGCTGGGAGTTCGCACGCTATGCTGCTGCGCGGCGGGAGTAGCGACCAGAAGTCGTACTAGGCGGAATTGGCGCGCAGAAAAAAAAAATTGATGTTGCAGACAGGAAACGGGAGCCCAATGAACACAATTTGGACTTACAGTCCTCTTCGTTTGTATATCTGAATGTTCGTAAGTTGAAAGTTTGTAAGTAGAGGAGCGTCTGTATTTTGTAAAGAAATATACAGAAAACAGGCAGCCAGTTATTGTAGGATGACCGTTGGAGGACGGTCGATAATATGAACACTCGAGCAAACTATGCCAATTGTTTCTCCAATGCACCTATCAATTTCACTGTATATTTAACCAATCAAATTTTCCGGTTTATTGCACAGTACATATTTTGAGGCCATTTCAACTATGAGCGGGAAGCGATGCGTTTGTTTCCTCATCGTAATGCAGTCAGCGGCGGGATTGTTAACATCTGATAAATCAGTAAAGACCAGATCTGCCCTCCTCTTCCAGGAGGCTATGGCACTAAACGTTTGGAATGGTAGCATATTTCACAATGTAAAGGACTGAAAGGCCGCTTTCCTAGATTCCCCCAGTATGGGGCACCGGGCAACATGGCATGTTCGGGGACTTTTGGCACCTTTGAGCTCATAGATCGATTGCAGATCTGGATGAAAACATAATACACACACATGTATGTATATGTATATTATGTTAGCATTAGCATATTTTCTCAGTTTGAATAAACTTTCCTATGCCTTTTTGGCTTAATTTCTTGGGAAGTGTGGGTGCTTATATTATGCTTATTTCTAAACTGCTACTCCTGTGTTTGCTGGTGAAAAGAGGAGAAAAAAACTTTTTGGTCATTTTTCTGATACCGTTTTTGAACCTGTTACAGAGACGTGGGTGAGAGTTCTTTCTCAGTTTTAATTTTCCCACAATCTTCAGCATTAATTGCCTCCACCCCTTCCCACAATGCCCTGACTTGGCAAGGGCACTGCGTGTGAGTGAGTAGGCCTACTCATATTAGGTGGGATGGCTGTTGGTAAATGTAGTCCTACTCCGAAACTATGCCCTGGTTCTCTACAACTAATTCCATCCTACCTGGCACCAGAAACACAATTTCAGTTGAGCATAACCATAGAATAGAATGACAGAATAGAAAAATAAATACTGGAGCATTCAGCTTGTTTAAGCAGGTACAAAAATATCTAGACTCATAAAAAGCCCTTCAAGGACACTGGTTTGAAAGGCAAGGTCAGCAGTCAGAGCGAGCACAGACAGAATGGATGGATACTCCTGTGAAATTCTGCAGTAATAGGAGCTCTGCAATGTCCGTTATGCAGGGTTTGTGTAAGCTTGGTGTGCTCCCAGTCAACCAGGTCAAATCTCAGGCAAGCTGACTAGGTCCAGTTTGGCCCCTATAAGTACTACTCAGTCCAGCCCCTCCTGAGTCAGTCTGAAAAAATACTGATGAATTTATCCCAGTCTCATTAACATTCAATCTGACTTAATCCATTTCAGTCCAAGTCATTGCTTGGTAATCCAGCTGAATTCCAGTCAGTTCAGATTAGCATTTCAGAGACAGAATTCATTAATATACCCCCTGCCTTTTAAATTATTTTTTATTGTGTTTGTAAATGTTTTTAAATGTTGTAAATATTTAGAAAGGCAGTTAAAACACAATAAAAACTTTTTAATTGCAGACAAAGAGCAAACACATTTTAAATATAATTAACAATTCAGTTTTTTTTCTAACTGTGTTCAACTTTGCAATTGTTAATAGTTGGCCTGCCTGGTCCATAAACAGACTCCCTCCCTGTCTGTAGCATAACAGATTTACAAATTGCATACCTACCAATTATACAGCATTACAGTGGGTCATAATCAGCAGGTCAGAGCAAATGTTATTTTATCCCAAGTTATTACTGCCCGCACTGTATACTGTAGTGGTTTCCATGTTTGTGTTCTGATTGTGTTTACTAGAAATTTACTTACAGTAAGCATCCACCATGGGCTCATCTGTATTAGCAACATTAAAAACAGTTATGGGCTGACATGTGCCACTTATCTGAGGTGTCTCAGCATTGGAAGATTGCTCCTCCTCTTCTGTTGCCCCTCTCCTTCTGCCCTTGGGGAGTAGGAACAGTGTGCACCGAAACCCCGGAGGCAAACTCATCATCTTCCCTGCTCTGAGAAGCCTCTCGGCTCAGCCGAGCGCACGGGCCGATCGCGGAGGTAGCGCACGTCCGGATCGAGCGCCGCTCCTCACTGCAAGCCCCCAGGGGACATGAGACCATGCTGACGTCGGAGGATTTAGCTTTCATCTGCTCCCCCAACGGGGATCCCCCTCCCCTGGCGTTCTCTCTGTAACAGTTCCTCTCAGCTCCACTGTCCTCTGAGGGGCTTCTCCAGCAGAGCAGTGAAACTTGGAGGATGGCGATAAGAGTCAAAAGCAGAGCTGCACTAGTGACTAAAAAGTTGAGAACAGAGATGCAGAGCCAACTACTGAGTGGAAAGCAGAAATATTCTGTGAATTGAATAGTCAACAAACCTAAAAGTCAAAAACAGAGGAAACACAGAGACCTAAATGTAAAAAGTGAAAAATAGTCTTCAAAAAAAGAGTCAGAAACATATACTCTTTGAACTGAAAAGCCAAAAACAGATATTTTTCAAACCCAAGACAAAAAAATGAGATAAAATACTAGGTAAAAGAATTGAAAACAAGGTACTTTACAA